CTGGATCTGGGACAGGTGAGGGGGGACAGGTGAGACTGGGACAGGTGAGAGGGGACAGGTGAGGGGGGACAGGTGGGAGGGAGCAGGGGGGACTGGGAGAGGGGAGGGGGGGGAGGGGAGGGGTGAGAGGGGACAAGTAGGGGAGGTGATCGGGTGACATGTGGGACTGGAACAGGTGAGACAGGTGAGATGGGGACAGGTGGGACAGGTGGGACTGGGACAGGTGATGGATCCTGATGACACAGGTGACCTCCAGGTGACTCTCAGGTGGCCCAAGGGACCCCCAAGTGGCCCAGGTGACCCGCAGGTGACCCAGGTGACCCCCAGGTGACACAGGTGACCCCCAAGTGGCCCAGGTGACCCCCAGGTGATCCAGGTGACCCCCAGGTGACACAAGTGACCCATGTGACTCCCAGGTGACCCCCAGGTGACCCCCAGGTGACACAAGTGACACAGAGGTGGCCCAGGTGACCCTCAGGTGACCCCCAGGTGATCCTGGTGACACAGATGACCCCCAGGTGACCCCCAGGTGACCCCCAGGTGACCCCCAGGTGACCCCCCAGGTGCCACTCACCGGGGGGAAGTCGCTGAGTTTCTGGAAGGCCCGGATGTAGAGCTCGTGCTGGGGGAGGGGGAAAAAACAGGGTCAGTACCCAAAATTGGGGACCCCCCCCAAATTTTGGGGGCCCCCTCAGACATTGGGGACCCCCCTGGATTTTGGGGACCCCCCCAAATATTGGGGACCCCCTCAGATATCGGCTCCTGAACCCTGGATTCCACGTGGGCCCCTCTGGAATTCTGGGCTCCTCTCCCTAATTTTGGGGCTCCCCTCGGGAATTTTGGGCTCCCCCCGGTAATTTTGGGGTCCCCCCCTAATTTTGGGGTCCCCCCCAGACCCCCCACATTCAGGGATGGGGGGGTTGCATCCCCTGATAAAGCCTCAGGAATCCCCGGATTCTGTGGGTGCCCCTCTGGGATTTCGGGTTCCCCCTGGGAATTTTGGGGTCCCCCCGGGAATTTTGGGGTCCCCCCCTAATTTTGGGGTCCCCCCAGACCCCCCCACGTTCAGGATGGGGGGATTCCACCCCCTGATAAAGCCTCAGGAATCCCTGGATTCCATGGGTGCCCCTCTGGGATTTCGGGCTCTTCCCATAAATTTGGGTTCCCCCCTGGGAATTTTGGGGTTCCCCCTGGGAATTTTGGGGTTCCCCCGGGAATTTTGGGGTCCCCCCCTAATTTTGGGGTCCCCCCCAGACCCACCACGTGCAGGATGGTGGGGTTGCAGCCGATGATGAAGGGAAGGTTCCGGAATCCCTGGATCCTGTGGGCGATCCGCACGGGAAGCTCCTGCTGCAGGTACCGGGCGCTGTTCTGGGGGGGGGGGGGGGGAAGGAAAAGGGGGCGTTTGGGGGCCCCCCCCAAAAATCCGGGGGACCCCCCAAAATGTTGGGGGCCCCCCCGGAAAAACGGGGACCCCACAAATATTGGAGTCGTCCCCAAATATTGGGGTTTTCCCTAAATATTGGGGGGTTTTTCCCTAAAAATCGGAGTCACCCCCAAATATTGGGATTTCCCCAAAATATTGGGGTCCCTCTCCAAATATTGGGGTCCCCCCCAAAAAACTTGGGACCTCCCAAATATTGGAGTCACCCCCAAAAATCTGGGACCCCCCAAGTATTGGAGCCACTTCCAAATACTGGGACTCCCCCCCCCCCCAAATATTGGGGTCCCCCCCAAAAAAACCTGGGACCCCCCCAAATATCGGGACTCCCCCCAAATATTGGAATTGTCCCTAAATATTTGGACCCCCCCC